AGATTGCTCCGCGTACTAAAGTTGTACTAGAAAGTCGCCAGTTCTCAGCTTCCAGCTCCACAGATACTCCGCGTACTAAAGTTGTACTACAAAGTCGCCAGTTCTCATCGTCCAGCTCGCCAGATACTCCGCGTACTAAAGTTGTACTACAAAGTCGCCAGTTCTCAGCTTCCAGCTCCCCACATGCTGTGCCTGCCACGAAATCTGCACATGGAGGTTCACAAAGTGCTGTGCCTGCCGCGAAATCTGCACATGGAGGTTCACAAAGCGCTATGCCTGCCACGAAATCTGCACCTGGAGGTTCACAAAGCGCTGCGCCTGCCACGAAATCTGCACATGGAGGTTCACAAAGTGCTGCACCTGCCACGACATCTGCACATGGAGGTTCACAAAGTGCTGCACCTGCCACGAAATCTGCACATGGAGGTTCACAAAGCGCTGCACCTGCCACGAAATCTGCACATGGAGGTTCACAAAGTGTTGCGCCTGCCACGAAATCTGCACATGCAGGTTCACAAAGCGCTGTGCCTGCCACGAAATCTGCACTTCAAGAAACAAGTGAAAACTCTAATCCCAATGGAGGGACGATTCCGACCATGCCCGAGCATGACCCGAGACCGTCTCGCAACCGTCGTTCCGCAGACCTTGACTTGCCAGCTTCGGAGCCACCGGTTCCATTGAAAAATACAGCATTTCGTGCGTTCGCTATCTCTCCACAACGCAGTTTGTATTGCGCCTGCCCCGAAATCTGCACATGGAGGTGCACAAAGTGCTGTGCCTGCCACGAAATCTGCACATGGAGGTTCACCAACGAAATCTGCACATGGAGGTTCACAAACTCCTGCACCTGCCACGAAATCTGCACATGCCTGCCAGGAAATCTGCACATGGAGGTTCACAAAGTACTGCGCCTGCCACGAAATCTGCACATGGAGGTTCACAAAGTGCTGCGCCTGCCACGACATCTGCACATGGAGGTTCACAAAGTGCTGCACCTGCCACGAAATCTGCACATGGAGGTTCACAAAGTGCTGCACCTGCCACGAAATCTGCACATGGAGGTTCACAAAGTGTTGCGCCTGCCACGAAATCTGCACGTGCAAGTTCACAAAGTGCTGTGCCTGCCAGGAAATCTGCACTTCAAGAAACAAGTGAAAACTCTAATCCCAATGGAGGGACGATTCCGACCATGCCCGAGCATGACCCGAGACCGTCTCGCAACCGTCGTTCCGCAGACCTTGACTTGCCAGCTTCGGAGCCACCGGTTCCATTGAAAAATACAGCATTTCGTGCGTTCGCTATCTCTCCACAACGCAGTTTGTATTGCGCCTGCCACGAAATCTGCACATGGAGGTGCACAAAGTGCTGTGCCTGCCACGAAATCTGCACATGGAGGTTCGCAAAGTCCTGCGCCTGCCACGAAATCTGCACATGGAGGTTCACAAAGCGCTGTGCCTGCCAGGAAATCTGCACATGGAGGTTCACAAAGTACTGCGCCTGCCACGAAATCTGCACAAGCTAGAGCAAACTGGATGATAAGTAGTGTATGATGAGTGGTGTATGATCCATGGTGTATGATGAGTGGTGTCTGATGAGTGGTGTATGATCCGTGGTGTATGATGAGTGGTGTATGATGAGTGGTGTCTGATCCATGGTGTATGATGAGTGGTGTATGATGAGTGGTGTATGATGAGTAGTGTATGACGAGTGGTGTATGATGAGTGGTGTCTGATCCATGGTGTATGATGAGTGGTGTATGATGAGTGGTGTGTGATGAGTGGTGTATGATGAGTGATGTATGATGAGTGGTGTGTGATCAGTGGTGTATGATCAGTGGTGTATGATGAGTGGTGTATGATGAGTGGTGTATGATGAGTGGTGTATGATGAGTGGTGTATGATGAGTGGTGTATGATGAGTGGTGTTTGATGAGTGGTGTTTGATGAGTGGTGGTCGAACAGCTGTTGAATGTCCGTAACACGGAAGTTTTGCACACTAAACTTCCTTTGACAATGTTTTATGCACCTTCGAACATGCCAAAAAGAAAAACGGTCTGCAAACCAGCTTGGCAAACAACGGAAAGCGAGACGCGCGATCCCTTTTCTGGCGGGCAGTGAGTCAACCGCGGCGTCGACCCTCGCTGCACCTGGCAACAGGAATGAATGCACACCGGTTGGGGAACGGCGCGAGGTCAGTGGATCTGAATGGTGGAAGATGGCTGGGATCGTGAACAAAACACATTATACTCATGCGTGTGCACGTGGCGCAGGTGCGTGTATATGCCTGCACGTGTCTTCTATTGGTATGTTTAGGTTGACATGTGTTCTGCTGTTGGTCGAAGTGAGAGGTCTGACTGGCAAAGTGGCAGCGAGTGAAGGCTCAAAAGCATATCAAGGATTTGGAAACCTGACGTGCCCCAGCGGTGTGGGGATATCTTATCATTTCAAGAACATGCTTTTGTGTAGGACGACGTTCACTTAGCAACATGAGACTTGGTCTGCGCTGGCAAGCACGCAGCACGATGAGCACAACTCCATTTTCCTGTACAAGCAACTGTGACGGTGTGGGATGCTGTGTCCATGCGGACGGTATACCTATAGTACAAGAGTCAGGCGCTAAGGCAGAATCTAGGCAATGGCCGGCAAAAGCACATGCGAAGGCTAGTCCGTGACCTCAAACACGGAACGCACCCAGGTGGCAAGCCAAACAAACCCTAGTAGCCAGTGGGCGCAGGAAGCCCACAACCAGGAAATCACATGACTATGAGAAACTCAGTCGAAATCATCACGCAAGAAAGACTGTCCAGGAGGGCAATCAAAAGTTGCATTTCTACTAAGTAGGGTGCTGTCGAAATGGGAAGGCCCACAACATACAGCGAAGTCATTGCTAATTTCATTTGCATTGCTGATGCAAAAAGTGCAAAACCACAAAAGCATCGTGAACATCCGAAAGGAGTGTGCAGCAAACGCCCCGTCCGTGACTTGGACGCCGACCACGTGTTGAGCTGGAGACCCACCAAAGTGCCACGGTTCAGGAACGCCCCAAGACAACAAGGATCCGTCTGATCGGGTCGCAGCAAAAGCGTAGCGAGCCTGCTGAATGCTTGCGACACCATTGAGCTGAGCTTGGACTGCCGAACAGTCGCCACCATAGTCGGCATCACCCCACGTCACCGCGGATCCATCGGATCGAATAGCCGCAAATGCAGTGAGGTTGGCTTGGATCTATATATATGGAGTTGTAGGTGCTGTAGGCCTTCAATTGCTATCAGCGCGCAAAGTCCTTAGCTGCGAATCAACGCTCCTCCCCGTGGCGAAGACGCCACACGGCTTCCTGCACCTTAGTGAGATGGTCCATGACAGCCGAATCCGCCGGGCCGGAGGCCCAACCAAACCTAGCGGTGAGGGGGTTACGGGGCCTAGAAGGCCTACATTCGCGAAAATGCTCACAATGCCACACCAAGCCGGGGACACAGAGGCCCCCCCCAGCAACATGCCTTAAGGTAGAGTCCGTATCCATACGCTTGCGCGTGAAGCCAATATCGACACAGCGAAAAAACTGTTCCAAGTTTTCTTTTGAATGATCTTGCAAGAGC